AATAGGAGAACAAGTATTTTTTAGGTTGATTTTTCTCCCATCTCAAGTAACTTGATTTAGTTAATTTACCCAACACTAGAAATGCCTTAATGAACAGGAGGGGATCCTCCCCAAACATCCAGTGTCCCCAGAGACCAAGAGGCACACTCATGAGTCTGCCCCGCTCATCTCATAATAAGCACTTAGAAGTAGGAGTGCCTTTTCCATTTTAAGCAACAGGAAGGCACAGAAGATGAAACCAGAGTTTTCCTTAAAAGAGTATACATCTGATAAAGAGGACAGTCATAAACTATTTCAAAACATACATTTCCCACTAGAATCTCTCTCTGGAGAAAGATGCTTCTGTGGACCTCAGGCATTTGGGGGTGTGTGGAGGATGGATTAATGAATATGGTGAAGTCACCCCAAAGCAGTGTCCAACCTGTAGAACTGGAATTCACATTTTGTGTTGTAACCTGGTGACTGGCTAGTTTGGAGAAAATGTTCCTATTTGATGGCCTCCTTCCTCCCCATGAGGGAAACAGTAGCATGTTGGATTATGGGAAGATCAGCAATCTGATGACCTTCAAACCTACATTGTGGGAAAGCCATGGACAAGCTGCCACAGACCCAATACGATTGTTTCAGCCTCCTGCCTTGTATTAAACACAATTTTAAAAATAAGGAGCTCTATATGTTTTAACCTTTGTGACCCAAAACTTCCCTATGGCCTAGAGAACCATCTCAGTGGGAAATAGATCTCATAATTTTGGACACTCGATGCGACATCGGCACCGAAATCATCTGAGTTTAAGGACTTCTTTGAAGGAGAAAGAGCCTGACTGGATGCTGGAAGAGATCTTTCCAGGTCACTCAGCATGTGGTTCTACTCCTGATGGGCTACAGAGAGCCCGACTTTTCCCTCCTCGTTCCCTGGACCCCTGCATTCAACTGAAAGGGGTCCAAGAGGAAAAAGACTGTCATGAAGACATCATAATAAGGGAAGGGTGGATTTCACAGGGGAAGGAGAGCTGCTCTAAAACTCAAGTCCCCATTTCCTGCAGAGGCCACAAGACCCATTTGTTCAAATTCTGACCCTGCCCCTTGAGTAAATCACTTAACTTTCAGAGCTCTCGCTTCCTCGTTTGCAAACTGAGACTAACAACCCTTCTTTGACGATTCTCCTAGGATTCTCCTGAAAATCCTCTCATGGCTGGCTCACTCTCTCTGTCCCCATGGCCTTCCATGGTGAGCTTATGTTCTAAGCTAGCCTCCACCTCCTCCTAGCCCCAGTCACTCACTCCCAGTGTACCCACGTTTATTCCTTCCACAGCATTTGTCACTGTCTGCCATCATCTTGTGCTGTGAGCCTGGCTGCCCCACTAGAATGTTGCTGTAAGAACAGAGGTCTGCGCTGTGAGATCCCCAGCAGCTCCAGCTCCTGGTTGGTCTTGTTTACCACTGCATGCCTGGTGCCCTGCCCAGAGCCTAGAAGACGGAGAAGCTCGAACAGTTGTGCCGAACAAAGAGCAGGTGAGATATGTGGAAGTTTTCTGAGCTGGAAAGGACTGGATAAATACAGGCTAACTACTACACCTTAGATTTATGGGGCCATCCCTTGAATTTGTCTACATAGCCCAGCTAGTTTTTCTTTACCATCATTATTGCTAGTCTACCACAGAGATGAAATCGCCTATTTGCCAAATCTGGGCCATAGCTTAGGTGGAGGCAAGGAAGGAAAGACCCCCCCCCCCCCGCCCCAATGTTATGTCTGTTGAGTTTTTCACACACATTTCAAGCAAGTTCAGCCAACTTTGAGGACACTCACAATGACCAGATGGTCCTGTATCCTATCTCAGAACTGATCATCTGGACTCAAGGCCTTTAGGTGCTTCCATTAGCTAAATTTAGACTGTATTTTGAGCCCATGTTTCCTTCAGAATCCTTTTAGGGGACACCTAGGGTCTTCCATAATACCTGGCATGGATTATCAGGGCATTTAGAGACTTCCTTGCACCCACACTTTTCTACCGATCGTGAGGGAGATGTGGGATTTTTCTAGATCACTTTCTCATTTGCAGGGCAAGAGTTGAAAACATGTTTTGGGGAAGCATGACAGCTCTGGAATTTCTTGTCGGGGCCTCTGCTTCAAAAGCAGAAGACTGATGGATTGCTCTAACAGTGCCAGAGGGTCATTCCCTGGAACACCGTCTATTTACCAATGCACTCCACTAAACAGTCCCCAAAGGCCCTTCCAGTGCTGAAAGGAGGGAGGCCGTGCAGACATTTTTTAAAAGTTTTAAAATAAAATAGAAGGATCAATATGCTTAAAGCTATTCTATTCCACATGGGTGGCAATAACCACCAGCTGTCACCGGGAAACAGCAGATGTAATTGATAAAACAACTGAAAACTCATGTGGATCCATCGTCAATAAAGTTAGCACCCAAAAAAGTAAATGAGAGGGTTCAAGGTGGGACTGGATAAGCTCCCCAGGTCTGCCAATAATTAAATCACTGAGCTACACACAGGCATAATTTTTTACTGCAGGTTAAAGAGGAGGACCAGGTGGGCAACTTGCTCTGCTGGGTGAGGATGGAAAGCGGTATGTTGCTCATGAAATTGTCCTTGGTTGAGGTAGCGGTGGTGGATGGGGGAGGTGGGCAGAAGACAGACCATCATTATTTCTCAGGAAATGCAGGATAGAGCATTTATCCATAATAAGGCAAGGATGGAATTTCTCCCCAGATGGAACAGGGGATGGGTGGTAATATTATTCATTACCACAGTTTAGCATTAAATGCGCAACACCTACTCTCATTTATTGATGGACTGTTTAAGACGGGTGTTAACCTGTTTGTCTTGTATTATAATTGAATTCAGTCTCTAGGCTACAGAAATTTGAGAAGTTCATCCTTTCTCAATCAATATGCTCCCCTTCAGTGACCCATTTCAAGACAGCTTCATAAAAAATAATGTATTTTGTTTTAATAAATTTAAACACAATGACAGCTGCTCAATTTTTATTGGTTGTTTTTTTTTTTTCCCTTCAGATGTCTCTTTGCTGCCGAGGGAAGCCAAGCTCACAATCGATAGTAATTGATTAATCAGCATCCCCTTTGAACAAAGGTGCTAATCAGTTTTTGATTAGTTCATCAAACCAGATGCAAAGGCAGCCCAAGCCCGGCCTGATAGATCATCAGTGTTCTACATGACTTATGGGTCCTGGGCAACACAGGACTGCAGCGTTCCTGGAGGGGGCGGGGGAGGGGGCACGTAAGTATTAATTTAACCAAATTATTAGGAGCACAAACAGTTGTTGGTTTATTGCTCCTGACTCTGGGTGATTGATAGAGCTGCAGCAAGGCCACATCTGACTTGGTGCAGAGCTGAGAGACACCCAGAGTATTTCCGCAATTGATGATGCTTGAGGAAGGGGTAGATGGCGGATTTAGTCCCATTTTCCTAAAGAGAAGAAAAATGACTTCTGCATATCTCAGTGACCTTCATCTGACTAACAGGCCAAGAGGGATCAGGCCAATGAGAACTCCGTCGTCTTTTAGGGTCCTTGAGAAGTTCCAATCGCCAGGGCCACTGTGTCAGAGAGCTGTTTTATTTAGGGTCAGGACATGAACCGAGAGCGCATTGCTTACGACCAGCCTTACGTTCTAAGTAAGGAGAAGGACTTAGCTCTCAAAATCGGGCTAATGTTTTTGCAACTTCTCTAAATACACCGCCAATAAGAGGCAAACATGAAACACTCCCTTGATGGGCTGGCTATCTTTCTAATCTTCTACTTATTTATCCGAATTCACTGGGACTGGGAACTTATTCATCCAACGAGTATCAATCGAGTGCCTACTACACGACAGGCATACAGCAGTGAACAAAACCAAAACGGCCTCCCGGAGCTTCCATTCTGTGGAAAAACCCGACAGCGAAGCTCACACTGCGACATGGTACATAGAAAAAGAAAGGCATCCTCCCCTTTTTAAAGTTTGACAGAAGCATATAGGAGGCAATGAATCTGCATTTTGAGAGAGACTAGTGACTCTATCTTATTTTCTCACTGGGGGAAACCTGTCGTCAAGGACTGCTGCCACCTTAACAACCAACTATTCAAGGGCGCTCAAGTGAAATCTCTTCAGGAAGGAGAAATATGGAACCCTCCCAAAGGCTGGAGTAAGGGGCCACACACAGTCCTACGTCTTGGTTCCTCTATCACAGTAATAAGGAACTGGCCTTCCTTATTGACTTAGTAAGAATTGACTGATCAAAATGTTTAAGAAGCTCTAGCTGGTGGGCACTGAAATCCCAGAGCATCATGGCACCTCATATAATTGTTTAGCTCTGACCATTTTGAATCTCCTTGCCACCCCCCCCCTCCTTTTTAGGATATGCTTCTTATTCTGGATTAGTAACACCTAAATCCCTGAATCAAGCATGAAACCTACTTTTGCAAGAGCTCAGTGTGCTGTGAAAAAGGTCTGAGGTGGATAATTAGTTTACACCATGGTGTGTGACAAAACAATTGCCCCCCTTCCTCCCGCCCCCCCACCCCATGCTTCTAAGATACCTATGACATGGCTTTTCTAGTCCATTCTACAGAAGCAGATGGTCAACATGAGCTTTTTCTTTTTTAAATAAAGATCTTCTCTCATAATCCAACATCCTGAAACTGCTTTGTGATGCAAAAAAATTTCTCTGGAACCATTCTACATCTAGAACATGAAAAATTATTTTAAGCCACTGAATACAGAGTGGCTTCAGTGCGATCCCCAAGATGACCTGGCCTTCCTTACATTAACGCCGTCAGTCCCAATGCGAAATAGATGCCCCTAGCACAGGGAAGAACGGGACGTGGGGAGGAAGAAAGCGTTAATAAAAATTTGTTTTCCTTCCGTCTCAAAACCCACAGTTGCTAATTAAGTGCTCAGGAAACCAAATGGGCATTTTGCAGGCTGGGACAGAGCACCCACAGGTTGGACACCGCAGCGCCTTACCTAGTGACTAGCCCTTACCTGAGAGGTCCTCACTGTCCAGCTCTTCTGCGGAATTGGGCAACTGAGTAAGGCCTTACAAGTAAAAACAAATCGTTTTTCTTTCCATTCCTCAAGGGACATAAACAAAACACTTAAGAACTGAGGATGAATTTCTTAAAAAACATGAGCCAAATCTCTTGCTCTCTCTCTCTCTCTCTCTCTCTTTTTTTTTTTTGGATAGCTTGAATGCATTAATCCAGAAGTACATTTCTCCAATCGTTTCATTTTGTTATTGATACACAATCAAGGCAGAAAGATTCCTCAGTCTCCACTTTCAAAGCACATGAAACATGAAGATGAATGTTTAAAATCACTCGTTCATAACAGCGTGCAGAATGAAAAAATAAAGGCTGATTGTTAGCTGTCGATGCTCTGACACAGCTCTTAAAATACAAATATATTTAGATGTTACATACTGATGTATGTAAGTTTGATTTCACATTTTTACCATAAATTGAAATCCTTTGCCAATACTGACAAATACATTTCGTTATCAATTTATGACAATCTTGGATCGCTTATTTCAAAATGGTACAGCATCTGCTGACTACAGATTGCAGGTTGTGTCTTCATCAGAAAATCTGATTTCGCAAAATGACTTCTTAAAAAGGAGAATTAAAAAAAAAAAAATCAGTGGTTCTCCCGAAAAATAAAACCCTCAAAGCTGAGAAAGCAGTCAGGTCAGGAGATAATCGGGCGGGGGGCTTGCGAGGCCTCTACGAAGCCACCACCAGCGGTGGCCGGCCGTGACAGCTCTCAGCCAGCTCTGAGCTGAATTAAAGGAGGGGGAGAAGGAGGTTGATAAACAACAGGAGGCTCAGCTGGGGGACAGATTCCATTTTCTCATGCTTTACTTACGCTCCTTTAATAAAATGTTCACCGCCACCAAGTGTTAGACAATCAAGGAGGCCTCTGCTCGTTCCTTAACGTTCTGTTCAAAGTCCTGGCCGATCGCTGCGGATCCTCTACTTTGCTAGTACTTGTCTAATGGGATTTGTCGTTTTGCAAGACTCTGTGTGGACCTATAAAGCTGCAAGGACTTTGGGGAGAGCAGCGGGTCTTTATTTTTCACCTTTCCCTTCTCTTAGAGCCAAGCACAGAGTATACTCTCAGCAAGCATTTGCTGAATGAATGACGTGGGAGTGATGCTCAGTGAACTACCAGCCAGAGCATGAAACAAACGCTCTGGAAACCGGCAACGTCAAACTGATCGTGCTACTTAAAAACAAAACAAAACGAAACAAGGAACAAAAAACAGGAAACAAAAAACCGAAGTAACAGAAACAATCAAGTAGAAATGGTCAGTAAAAGTTTGGATTTTGTAGGTTGTTTTATAAAGCAGTCAAATGAATATTGATGGCTGGGCTGGTGCCATGAAAGGAAGCCATCGTATCAGGTCTTGAAGAAGAATTTCCATTATGAACCCTGGGTGCCAATATTCAAGGGCAGGTGCCAATTAGAAATGGGAGGGTTCGAGCCCACGGATGGTTCCCAAACTATGGATTCGGGCAACAGAAGGGAAAGCAGTGAGTAATGCAATCAATTATAGAGGCAAGTGAGCAGGGATGCTATCCATTTGTTCTGAAATCTGATTGGCTGAAAGTGTTCCTGTTGCTAATTGGCTTTATCCATTGTATAAAGACTGATGAATACAATTATTTGAATAATTGTTATAAATGGGCAACATAAAGTACTTCTCTGTAGTTAATTATGAATTTGCAGTTCTCAGAAGGCTAATCCCTCACTTCTACGTGGCCCAACGAATATCAAAGCTTTCTATATACGTGCTTGGCACCCACTGAACCATATTAAACAAGGATGTTTCAAGTAGGCAGCTTTATTGCTGAATGCTTGCTTCCTTGGGGAGGGCATTAGAAAGCTAATTTTAAAAAATAAAGACAAATATGTTTGTGAAATATCATTGATATGCAAAGTTTCCCATTAAAAAGCAACAGACAGTTGATATACACCTCATTAAAGATGAAACTGTCATTTTTAATGGCATAAATTTTAAAATATACCAAATCATCTGGAATCCACTGCTCAGATTACATCCGAAAGTGGGAAGCCATTTAGGTTAGTGGCGTTAAATTTGTTTTTGCAAAATTGTTGTATTTCATGAATCTATAGTGCTCTGCCATAGTTGGATAATTTTTGAATAAATATAACTGGAAGAGTTTACTGAAGCACTGAGTATATACGTGAGGACGAGCAAAATTTACCTCCTAAAATTGCTTTGACTTAGGCAGTCAGTCCTCTTTCATGTTAAAAATTACACACCTCTTCTTAAAGAAACGACGATGCGTTTCGTCAAACAGACAATATTCTTCAAAAGGAAACTTCACAAATTAACAACATGTGGGGAATCACTTCTTGGGTTTTTCTCTTTAAACTCCCATATCGTTTGTTAAAGCCCTTACCTTGTCATTTCTAATTAAAATGTATCCAATACATTTCTTTAAACTTTGTTAAACAAATGAAAGGTTTAACTTTTGATCTATATGGAATTTTTTTTTGAGCAATTAATTCCGAGTAATTCATACATGCTAATTTCATGTCTGCACTATCGGGGTCTCTTCTGTGGAGACGTGTTTTCCCTCTTCGTGGTCTATAAGGTGCTGCACATACCCGAGCCTCCTTAGCGTCCCCCTCTGCACGTGTTCCTTACTCCTCCTTTTTAGCAGACATCACTGGCTTCTAAAAGTGGTATAATGTGGCAATCTTTAACCAGGTGAAGGAAAACCTCAAACATTAGAAACAGCAAGAGATCCTGGAGATATTTAAATAAAGTCAAGGTCAGAGTCAAGCAAAATTTAAATGCTTGTGGGTTCAGTTCATTAGGGTTTCATTTTTTTTTTTTTTCAGATAATGTCATAAAAGAATGATCAAAGAAAACCTGAAGGAAACAAAAACGTAGCCCACTGGCTCCAGTACCATTCCCAGTATGAAAAAGTAGGCGATGGTCTCTTTCTTACCTAAGTGGCAGACATCTGATCACTTGGCCATATTATGGAAACTGTTACTTCCATCACCAGCCATAAGAGTTCAGACGCCCCCGGTAGTTTTAATCTAAAAGCTCAGTCATCCTGTTCTTCCTGCTTTGTCAGCTTTTGTGGAGAGTTTGTCCCTTCTTCCCATTGGCAGAAATTTGGTTCACGCCGTTAAACAGTAGCACATTGTTTCCAAACTGCATATCAAGGCTGAAACACAATCTTCAGGTCCTGCAGCCATTCGTAAACCTCTTTAGCTTTGTTCTTGAGTAGAACGTACAATGTCTGCAGAGTCCCTTGACTGAATGACAGCCTTTGAATGCCACTGTTGCGTACTCGTACAGAGAGATGTGCAGAGAGGTGCATACACAGAAATGGTGGACATAGAGGTTGTAATAATGCGCACTGCTGGCTATTTTTCTTTAAAACGGGCTTCGGAATTTCCCCACAATTGAATAGAAAGCAATATGAGAGTTTCAAGTGCTTTTAGGATTCTCAAGGCTTGCACTACTAAAGAAATAAGTCAGGGAAAGGGCGATTTAGGGGGTGCTTTCCCGAGGGCAGCGGACTAGGGTAGGAGCATGTGTATCTAGCACAGGCCAAAGATTCTGAAACCAAAACTGAAAGTGAAAAATGACTTCAGAGGGGTTCCTCGTTTGAGTCTTACCATAATTACGGACTGAATTAAAGGCTGCTGAAAAACTTATCTGGGATATATCGATTCATGAGATCACCAGCCTCTGATATGTCAAGAGGTGGAAAGCGAAAGGACAGGTAGACTAGAAAATAATAAAACAGGGAGGAGAGAGAGGGGAGAGAGAAAGGGAGAGAGACAAAGAGGAGAGAGGGCGAGAGAGAGGACCTCAAACCCAGAGGAAGCCAGCTCACTGCAGTGCAGCAAAAGCACAAGCGCTATTCCAGACCATGGACATGCTGTCACCCAGAACCTCACACAGGGGAGGTGGGCGGGGGAAGGGAGAGGGCACACGCAGGGCCGAAAAAGAACAAGGCACAAGACACTTACAGAGAAGCGCCCACATTTGAACAAACAAAAACCAGCACACGCACCCACACATCGATAATCAGAAGGACGACGACACCATCCGTGCTTTAAGTCACTCATGCATTTCTGCCATCAATTTCAGACCATGTGGTACCAGGATTTGGCAGAGTGTGTTTTTTGTTTGTTTGTTTGTTTTTTTGGTTTTTTTTTTTTTTTGTTGCATTGCTTAACATGCACACATAACACAGGATTCTTCCTGTCCAGGCCTTAAGGATGAGCTCCAAAAACACAAACGCTCAAGATCCTTATTCAAAGAAAATCCCTTCGGTCACCCTAGTCTAAAAATCCCATTCTTACACTCGCTTTTATCTTTACCATCAATTAGATCCTTAAAAAGCACATTGTGACTGATTGTGGTTTGGTTTCTTTTTGGAGAAAATCCATTTGATTTTGAATCATGCCCATGCACTTCTAACCTTCCAACACATGCTTATTCCAATCAGATATTGGTAAGAACAAATGGTCAACATACATAAACAACTGGTGTACTTCATACATACTCTAGCAACACAAGCTTGAATAAAGTATTGTAATGAGTCTTCAAAGGGAAAGATTTTCGGAAATGATTTTTTCCCCCTTTTTATAAAAGAAAAGAGAAATATAGAAAGAACTCCAGTATGGAGATTTTTAAGACAAATCAAGTGGCCACGACTGGCTGACCTAATACGTCTTGTCATTTAAGTTGCCAAGTTCTCAGACCATGACATTTTTCTAGGCCCAGATCTCTATCGTGAACATCTCAAGGTTACTCTCAAGTGAATCCAAATCAAATGGTTGCTGTACTGAAGAAGTTGGGTTTTAGCCACAAGGCACTCAATTACAATCAGTTCCAGATCTTTATCTCTCTGGAAACCTGGTCCCCTGCTTTGTAATTTCCATCGTATTCTACCCCCGTTGACGACTAACCTGAAGATGGGTCTTCCCTCCGCCAAGTAAAATTCTAGATATTACTGTTGCTTTCATTACAGCTTCTCGCAGTAGGCTGGAGGGTATGCTGTTCGAGATGGTGGTAGGACCTCTTGGTGAGGATGCTGTCAGGACTTTAGACAAGTCAGGAGGATGTGTTTATAAATGTATCAAACAGGGACCAACCTGGGCTATCACTTCTCTCCTTCTGCCGTTAAGGAACTGTGTGTGTGTGTGTGTGTGTGTGGCCATTGGTTTTTTTTTTTCTCCCCAAGATTTCTTGGCTCTACGTTGTTTCCCATGTACTGCCAGCCAGTGAACAACATCCTACTGGTGTACTGCTGGCTTGAACACTGTCCTTGAACTAATAAGGCAGTGGTTGCTTCTCTGTTTCCTGCCACAGGAATGCTATAAAGTCTTATTCCAAGTGTCTCTTTGTTATACCACGAAAAGAAATCACCATCACTTTCTTTCTAGACAGAAAGACCTAATCAAAAACCGTGCCCTAGACCAAGACTGGCCCCTAAGCTAACTTCTCATTTTTCAGGTCAGGGAACAGATTTCCTACTTGGAATACCTCACCCGACTCCAAGACCTACATCCATTAGATTCACATAAGAACACAGGTTTTATTGAAGGGACCTAGCAAATAGAACTCTGGAGTCTTAGGAGATAAATGATCAATATTTCTTCAAAGATCTCACACAATACCAGAATCTTATGGTTACATTTGACCCTGGAGTCAATTATAGGAAGCTCAGAACTTAAAGCATCTTAAAAAGAATAGAACAAAATCTCTTGAATGACATTAAAATAGCCTTAAAGCTCTGAGACTGATCGATAACAGTCAGGAAGTGCTCAATTAATGACGAAACCTACAAATAACCAAGCTTAATGGAGCACAGTGCCTGAGCCGTAGCAAGCACTATGGGGCATTACCTTAGAAAGTGGGAGCTTTATACCTAACTGACTTCTCCCGATTGTCAGTGTAACTGGCCCTTTAATTTTTCCCTTTGTGCCAACGACAGGAAAGGGCCAGGTGAGGTGGGCAGGGAGTGGGGAGGGATTTACTGCTCTTCGTACCTAAGTTCATTCTGCTTTCTTGGGATTCCTCATCACAAAGCGCAAATACGGGGGCGATGTGCCAAGCGTCAAGGCCTGACCTTCAAGGACAGCTCACCCAGGACAGGTTTTGCTTAGAGATTTCCAACTGACAAGTCCTCAAACGTAGGTCTGTTTTAAGGAAGTCAGTCTGTGCTAGGAAGAGATGCTTTGCTAAAGGTGCATGAACAGTAAAGTGTTGGCTGATCACCTCTAGGCACTTAAGCGATGCATCCCAACACTGTACAACATGCAAAGTGATTTAAATAGGCCCTTTACCAAAAAATTCCCTGGAACTCAATTATTAAAATTCTGCCCAATTTTTAACTAACGTATCTTTCTCTAAGCACAACATCACCAGGGTTGAGAGTTAAGAAATAAAGTCATATACAGATGAAACATAATTCTAATTTTCTGACTGAAGAGACATAGAAAAGTTAACGAACTTATTCCAACCTTGTAAGGTAGGATGAAGGTGTGAAAAGGATAGCCCGGTGGCTTTTTTTTTTTTTTTTTTTTTAAATCACTTTTTGGTTAAAACCTTAACCAACTTTCTAGTTATTTTGCCTACAAGCTGCCTGTACACAAATGATTTTGTCAAGTCCTACTTAATGCTGCTAAAACTTATATATGGTGTCATTCTTGGTCCGGAGAGGGATCCTGCCAAATGCTGGTGTAAATAGCGTAAACCTTCACGCACGCATAGAGATTGAGAGCGAACTGGTGCTGGTTTGCAGAGGCAAACAGGATTGGGAACATAATTAAGAGAAGAGTGATGACCTCGTGAATTTAAATGGGACTCTTCTGTTCTCACCTGTCCTTCGGCCTCAACTAGTAAGTGATCCGAACGACCCCTCTTCCAAGTGTACCTGGGATTCTAGCCTATAAATGAAGAAAGCAATTGGGTCTTTAAACCAGAGGCTGTGATTTTCAGGCAAGTATTTGTTTTTGGAGTCCCTTGTATTTTGGTGTCTGCCTGGAGTTCTATCAACAAGGGCCACGACCTGCGTCCCAGCCAGTGAGGCGGCTACCTCGCCTCTGTCACCACTGGCTGCTGAACTCACAACAGAAATGACAAGACCCGACATCCTTTCAAGCCTTAAAAAATTATAGTATATTTATGAGATCAGTCTACTTGAAACACGATTTCCCTTGAAGACTGCATTTCTCTTTTTCCCAGGCTTGCCTTGCCTCTCAGCAGCGCTGAGAAAGTAGATAAACAGTAATGTGATACCAACCGTGAACTGCGGGCTCTGTCGTCGCTGCTGTGTCTACAGACGGGAACAGAGGATTGGAGGAAGGGAGGAAACAGGAGGAACGGCATGCAAAAAAAGGGAAAATGGAAAAAAAATGGAACAGATAATATATGAGCAAGCTTTCAAAGAACATCGCGTGACAAGCAATAATAAATGAAAAGCAAAAAGCATTTGAAGTGAGTTGCACTGTTTTAAGACATGCCTTCAGCTCAAAGCTGCGAGCCAGTGAGGAAAACAGTCAATTCTTTGGTTCTGGGGGTCTTGCCGGGACACATCTACTTGCTAGTCAATAGTCAGGGGAACATGCAGAGTGAGGAGAAACACCAGTGCAAACTCTTAACGCATCAAGGCTCAGGACTGTGACAGAAGAGCCCAGTCGGAAGGCTGGCCGAACAATGGATTCATACATTCAAACATTGCCTTTGTTTTAAGCCAGCCCACGCGGGCACTCGGCTTCGTGCCTGCCAATTAGGCATCACCGCAGCAATCACACTTCCAGGATCCTTGTGAGGCTGGTAGATGCCGGTAGACGAACACATGAGCTCAAGGTTTCCATCCCGTGTGTTATTCCAGCAGGGTTCAGCGGGAAAGTTCAGTTAACCGGGAGGCCATGGGAATGAACATATTAAAGGTTTCCAGGTGAGTTTCGGTACACACCCCGCCCCCCCTGCCGCCACGACCCACCACGGATCCATTCTTCACTCTGCAGCTCTTGCTGTCGTACAGCCTATGGGCAGAAGACGGTCAGGGAAATGGCCACGTCCACACCATTTGCCAAACGCCACTTGTGATCATGGGACGTTCCACAAATTAAAGGACCCAGCCGTCCCCGTGTTCACAGTTCGGAAGCACAATCGTTGTGGTGAGCTGCCAGGAGCCCTGCCTTCACGGCGGCAGCACGAGACGGCACGTTCACTTTTTCGCTGCCAGACGCACTTGCTGGGGAAGAGGATGTGGTCTGTCTCTTCTTCTATTTCCCATGCTGTTCGAGTTTCCTCCTCCTCCTGCTAGGCTTCAAACCAGGCCGGCTGTCCTGGCTCCTCTTCACAGGAAAACTGCTCAAGGGGCTCAAGAAATTTCCTTTTTATTTTTGGCTAGAGGGATAGTGGGATAAATATCTAACAAAATGCACGATGACATTTTTTTCCAGTCTTTTTCTTTTTTTTTTTTCTTAAACACCACTCCCATGGCCAACTCAATTCCAAAGTCAAGCCATCTGGCCGCACTTCCGTGTTCAGCTCTATACCTCTCCAGTATGTTTCCTTCCACTATCCCCTTCTGGCCTGAAAACGTCGGTGATACGGGCACAGCAGCTCATCATCTCTAGCTGGGGTGGCGTTCGTGGTTAAAACTGCAGGTAGTTACCTGTCCTTTTTTTTTTTTTTCCTCTTTCTCTCATATAACGCAGGTACTTAAGCTGGTAATTATTTTTATGAATTCTAGAGACTTCCAAAAGACTCTTCCAGACACGACACAGGCAATGTTTAAATGCACTGGGATGCCAACTTTTTTTTTTTTTTTTTTTGGTCATATGAGCCTGGTGCTTCTAGTTTGCAAATCTGACCCATGAATTCACACCAGTGTTCCTCTTCAGTTGCATGCTTTCCTTGGGACCCTATACCATCAAAAACTTGCAGCCCTTCTAAGGAGCCAGAATTAACCAGCAGTCTGAGAAGCCACTGCAGCTTAATATAACTTATAGCTGAGTTTCTGAAGATTAGATGAAGGAAAGAAAGACATAAAATACACCGCATAAGAACACAATACTTACTTACAAGTCAAGTCTGTGTGCATAAAATAGCAGTAAAAAACAATACCAAGAATTGTACAGTTGAAACATCGCTATACCAGACTGTCATGATGCAGCTGACACATCTCCTTACTTGAAACATTCAAGGCAAGCTTTAGTTTGAGGTGTTTTCAATTTCAGGGGCAACATCAAATGCACATTTGTACAGAAACATTTATATGCAGGTTAATACATTTTACGGGTAGGCATTGGCTCCTTTTCAAAATTAAAAAAACAAAACAAAACAATAAACACTTTGGCTTATTTTTATAGCAGCATTTTCTCATACGCTTTATCTTTTAGCAGGTGAACAATTAGCATAGACTGAAAGAAAGGAGGTGGAGTAAATCCTAAAGGTTAGAGCCCTAAAAATCGTATCTCAGCATTAACCAGTGACTCCTCGATTTACTGTTTCCTACATCCCAACGCTGTCCGCTTTATCACGAAGTTAATCTGAGTGAACCTGGGCGTAGGCTTCTCTGTGGGTACTAGAAAATAAAGAAGAAAAGTCCACAGTGCAGCTTTTGCTTTTCCATTCTGGGGATGGGAAATCCATCAATTGCACCCAAACGGGGAGGAAAAAGGAACGCCGGGAGGGGGAAGAAACACCTTCGAGGACAGTTCAAAGCAAACACACGTTCACGTCAAACCACACAGTCACTGCGGCTGGAAATGGCAAAGTCACGGTCAGCAACGGAGCAGGAGAATAGAGCAGACACACAGGCTGGCCACAGAGTTCGAGCAAGGTTTGAGGGTGTGTCAGGGGGCACGCTGATTCTAACTCTCTGAGAGCACCTGGTGCGCTGTGTGAACAGAGGCGGTTTCGAGTAAAGAAGGAAAAAAAAAAAAAAAAGCAAAAAAAAAAAAAAACCCTTCTTCAGAAGTGACTTTGTGCTCCCTGCAGGAGAGCACTGTCGCAGAATCTAATTCTCCTTCATAATTGCATTATGACTTCGTGCAGAAACCACAGACACCCTGGCTCTGAAGCAAGTGTGGCTCTGTGAGGCAGGATTTATTAGGGGCGTCTCCGTCAGAAGGCTGCTGAGACGTGTGGGCCCGCCCCTGTGAATCGGCTTGTGGGGTCACTCTGTCGTCGGACAGCATTCTGAGGGTATGGGCAAAATGCGAGCGGTAACCTTCCAACGCACGTCAGCAATGCTGCGCTTCACTTGAAAAATGACAGCTCCTAATTGTCCCAATGAAGACTTCTTTAAACTTCATTTTGCCTTTAAGAAACTAATCTCTGAGCTAGGCCCCGGGGAAAAAGAGGTCACAAAGAGTTGAGTTGGGCTCTCGGTGGCATAGGGTTATGAACCTGAAAAGGCCTTGCTGAGCTTCTGGCCCTATGTTAATTTTAATTACAAGAAGGGCAAATGTATTGGACGCTTATTTAAAATTTTTTTTTTTTTAACGTTTATTTATTTTTGGGACAGAGAGAGACAGAGCATGAACGGGGGAGGGGCAGAGAGAGAGGGAGACACAGAATCGGAAACAGGCTCCAGGCTCTGAGCCATCAGCCCAGAGCCTGACGCGGGGCTCGAACTCCCGGACCGCGAGATCGTGACCTGGCTGAAGTCGGACGCTTAACCGACTGCGCCACCCAGGCGCCCCCCTTGGACGCTTATTTTAAATGGTCAACAACAACAACGACAAATCCCGTGGTTTTGCAAACCCACTGAGTGTGTACGGCCTTAAGAGTCATTCTCTAGCTGCTTTATGAGTATAATCAAACAAGGTGGCCAAGGGCAGGCCCTGTGCTATTTGAAAGATGCGCATTTCACTAAATATTGACTTCTCGGTCCCCCAGCCATACACACAGTTTATGGCACCTTATCTTGAATAAATTAAACATCACCTATATTTCATGTGGCAGTGTAAGATACTTACAAAATGGAAAGGCTCTGACAATGTGTGAGATTAGAGACAGTAGCCATTTAACCAAGTAGAAAAAAAAAAATTGCTGCATGAGAGGCAGCTGGGCAATATTTAGTTGAAACAGTCATGTGTAAGCTCCACTGCGGCACATTCTAATCCTTTCATATGGATTCTCTCCAACTTAGAATTGTTCATTGAGTGTGACAGACTGGGGGTTTAAAACTAATCCATAAATTAGTCCATGGTCTCAAACACAACGGGTGCCATAAATGAAAATGAAAATCCTAGAACAAAATTAAATTCACAACCTTAAATACTTTCTCTTCTCCAATTGCTCTGTAGTCCTCCTGCGTTACAATGCACAGATTCCCTGCAAGACTGCATTTTGGGGTGTGTGTGTGAGTTGGGTATACGTTAAAAAATACACAGGGTAATAACCCAGAGAACCCAATCTGCTCAAAAGCAGAGCTTAATTGTAAAGAATTTAAATTTTCCCATTTTGATTGTCATAAGCTTAAATGAAAGCATACTAAGCAGTCCAGACATATTTAATACACTTTCCCCCAGTTTATTTTCTTAACTAAAGTCAATAAGGAGCCAATGGGTTTTCTTAATTGAATTCCCCTTCAGTTTGTGTTACGGGGCTGCTTTAAATCTAGACACTAGGGCAGGCAAAGAATTCCCCTGACAATTTTATTTTCATAGTTGTGTTCTGCTGGCCAATATATATTAAATATATGGTTTTTTAAAAAATTCTTTTCTTTATTTATTTCTGACTTATTTGAAATCTATTGAAAGCAAAAATACGTGCTGGAAAATTAAACTTCGAAATTTACTTTCTACCGGATTCCTGGTCAATTTTCTTTCCAACTATATTAGGCTTTAATTAAACTCCCATTTCTGAGGGCCGGGAGAAAGGGGACAGGAACACACTGGAAGCTACAAAGGTCCAGATAGGAGAGTCACGATAAAACTCTCTTCCTTCTTAAAGTCACCCTCCGCTCCTTCCATAGAACAGCTGGATGGGGAGTGGACTGGTTTTTTTGTTAAGCAATTTCAAGTTTTGTTCAGAATCGTTCACTACTGCTGCTATGCCCCTGAGATCTTTTCATTTGCAAACCAGACGTTCTGAAAATCACAGGATCTTGTACAGTGGTTTCCTCTCACAAGGAAATGACTCCTCTGCCCTGGTGTGGGTGACGGCTGGGCAGGAGGGGCAGAGAGGGGGAAGGCACAGGTGAGGAGAGGGACGGAAGGGGCACTGCAAGGGAGGTGACGGTGCAGAGGGAAGGGGCTCTAGAAATAGTCACTTCTAGTCTTCTCTGCTTACGTGCTGGAGGGCTGGTTCCTT